GTCTAGTACTCTCTTAAGCCGATCATCATGCTCCTGTTTCGTTTTACCATGAACAAGCAAGTCGTCTATGAATAGGCAAACCCCTGGTATATCATCAAAATATTCAAACATTTTTTTATGGAAAACTTCTGACGCGGAAGTTATTCCGAACGGTAAACGTAAAAATTTATACCGGCCAAAACTTGTATTAAATGTACACAAATCTGTGCTTTCTTTATGTAGACGTAGCTGCCAAAACCCTTGTTTCGCGTCTATCGTGCTATAGTATTTAGAACCTAATAGATTAACAGTTATTTCATCCAAGGTTGGCAGCTTGAAATGTTCTCTCCTAATAGCTTTATTTAGATCGCGCGGGTCCAAACAGACCCTCAATTCACCATTGGCCTTGCGAGCCACAGTCATGCTGTTGACCCAGTCCGTCGGGCCTTCAACTTTTGCAATTATACCCTCATTAACCATTTCATCTAACTTTTGTTTTATGCTATCTTTTAAGGCTATAGGAATTTTCCTTGGAGCATGTACTACCGGCCTAATGCTAGTATCAATTTCTATTTTATATTCGCCGGGCATACATCCTAACCCTTCAAATACGTCGTGGTATTCATTAGAGATGTAATCGTAGTTTTGCGTACTGCTAATACTAAGTAATAGTTTAATTACATTAAGCTCACTACACGAATCGCGGCCCAAAACCGGTGGCGAAGATACATCTGCTATTATAAATTCTAATATATAAAAATTTCGTTTATACTCCACTTTCAAATGACACATGCCAAGAACGTTGATATCGCTACCCGAATACCCTTTTAATTTAACAGACGTTTTAATCAAATCTTGTTCAGTTACACCGACCTGGCTTAAATATTTTCTGGGTAAAACGTTCACATCGGCTCCAGTATCTAATTTAAATTTGATTAATTTTATTCCAAAAGCTAAATCTATAGACCAATCACTATGTGAACCATTAAAGCAATAAATTACCTGATCGGTAGGCCACTCAGCTTGCACATCATAAACGTTGCACATTCGCGAGAAATGATCAAAGTTCTTGCAATTTAAACACATTTTTCCTAATGCTGGACACCGCATGTCAACACTATGAATAAACCCGCACTTAAAACACTGCACTCCAGGTTTATTTCCGTTATACGGCACTTTTTGCTGTCTCATGTTTCGCGACGCGAAGGCGGTGTGCGCAGGAGCGGCGGCAGCAACGGCGGGGCTGGGACGCGGCTGCGCGAGGCGCGGGGCGGGCTGCGCCCATCCGCGGCCGCCGTGCCGCGAAGCGCCGCGCGAGCGCGGTACTCGTCTTGATACCCAGTTCACTTGTTTGTTCGCACTACCTTCGTCTTGCAAAATAAACTGATCATGATGATTACTAATAGTAATGTCGTAGGCTTGATGTTCACTATATTCTTTTTTAATTGCACCCGCTTGCAACCTAGATATTTGGGCTAAATTGCATATTTCCAATGATTTTTTTAGAGTCAAATCCGGTTCTCGTAACAAACGTTCCCTGAGTGCATCCTCTTGTATTCCGCATATCAGGCGATCTTTTATTAAACCGTCCATCAGTTCTTTAAATTGACAAGAACTTGCTAATCTTTTTAACTCGAATGCGTATTGCTCAATTGATTCACCGTGCTTCTGACTACGGGTAAAAAACTTGTGTCGTTCGATAGTAATATTCTTTTGCGGCAAGAAAAACGAGTCAAATTTTTTTATCAAATCCGTTACACTTGTAGCTTTAGTATCGAATTGATCATGTACCTCGCGACATTGCTCACCGATCACATGTAGCAATATATTAATTTGCACTTTACTGTCTTTTTTCGACAGCTCGCACGCCTCATAATAAACCACAAACGCATTCTTCCACTTCTCCCATTCCTTAGAAAGGTTTCCTGAAGTGACGTTTTCCAAATTATTAACAAAATTAAATGGCGGCGGTGGTGGCAATACGGCTTCCATCTTGGTACCAACTTTTAACCAACGTTTGTAATTTGAATGTCTACAAAACCACTGGCACAATTTTTAACTACAGAATGCAAACACTGTATTTATCCGTTTGTTATGATGACTATTACAATGGTTCAATTTCCGACTGCGCCATGTCAACGTTCTTGTTGGTTGGGAGCGACAATCAAACACCAGTTCCGGGTCAAGACTAACTGTACTTTATTCAGTTTACCCACATGCATAAATATCAAATTCATATAAACTACCTACACTACTAATCTATAATAACTATCTTACATACATACACGCCCTTTTTCCATGAATTTGTTAAATATTTATTATATATTTTACACTGTTATGGAAAATATTGCCCAGGTTTTAAATTCAAGAAAAAGCTACACAACTTATCGAGAACGGGCCATGGAGCATCATCATCTCTCTTTAGATGGTTAAGCTTATTCTTTAGCGGAAGTAGAAGTAGCTGTAGGGGGCTCGCGTGGAAGTCCTTAAATCGACTTGGCACATATATAGGTCACTGCAGAGACAAGATGTGTATATGGGATTTCTGGGATGCTAATCGAACCCAATGTGACTGCGGTGCTCCAACACAGTTCATGCGTCACTTACTGTTGTGTCCCATGTACTATAATACCTGTACGAGTACTGGTAGTGCAGTCAAGGTCAGTTACTTCTAAAATGAAAAAAGTATTGACACGATAACAAGAAGAAGCGGAAGTAGCTGCCAATCTTCTGGTTACCAGAGTCTTCAACGAGGCGAACTGAAAGCAAAGCGAGGAGTTTCGCCACTAATGGGAACATTAGAGGCCACATTACCTATTTGCCTAGTCTATTCAGACTGCGAGGCACTATTTATCTTACACCCAATTCTAATTTTTCTCGAGTGTAAGTTTCCTTTATAGAATGCGATCCCTTTTTGGGCACAAAATTTATTTACAGGATGATACAGAATATGACAGGGGATTATCAAGGTATTTTTCATTGTTGAAAAAAATACTGTGCATCATCAGTTTTTTTACATGCAGTAACTAAATATCTAAATTCGACTGCCCCATCGAATAAACGTTCTCGCTCAAAATACATCTCTTTTTTTTTTCAGATTTATTTTCCAATTAATTTTATAATTATTCGGTACTTCAATGTTTATTCTACGGAAAATAAAATTACAATCTCGCACGAATATTGCTAGTAATATGTGATTTGCATACTATCTACTCTAGCATGTTTATAACAAACTAAACTACAAATTTTCTAGTATGATCCCTGTGACACTTCATTTGATGTTTTCACAGGGATGAGGTGAAGTCGATAGATTTTTGAAGCAAAGGTTCTCTCTTATACAGCCTTGCATAATATTACGGATTTAAAAAAACATAACAATTGAGTTTTTTAAATAAAGGATTCCCATGAATTGTGTATAAATAATATTTATTTTATTTCTGATATCCGATCCGTTATTTCTATGGAATAGGTACAGGTACCGGAGAAGAAATAAATTAAATGTAAACGCAGTCTTTGTTTATGATACAATAACAATCAGCAACCAAATTAGCGTGATTTACAGGGACTCTACTGTCATCAGTCCGTAGACAACATAAATTAATGCTTCCTGTACAAAAATGAAAGTCGTAGCCATTGAAATAACAAATTAATAACGTTAAGTCCGTCTTCTGTGAAATTTGGTTTGGTGCAGTTACGTGCCTTTTACCAATACTAAAGACGTGAATTTGCACTATCCACGACGTTATATATTTATTCAATAAATTATCGAAAACTTTTTATCGTTATACCTCATCTCTAGCAAATGTAGTCTAATGAAGTAACCTTTGTACGTTGTCGTAATTTTAAATTCATTTTTGAAAAAAAAATGTGTCTCTGGGCATTTGTCACTAATTTGGTGTTACTTTTACTTTAATTTTATGTTTTTGCTTAAACAAAAGATATTCACTTAAAAGCGAGACTTATAAAAATAGTTGAGACTTATAAAAACACGCATTTTATATACGTAAATTAGTAGACTTCGTTACAAGGTTATATTATGGAGAATTTTGTGAACTGTCACAGGGATCGTCCTAGAAAATTTGTAGTGTAACTTTGTAATATTTTTTGGGAATGTTTAAAATTCTTGAAAATTGTAATGCAGTTTTGCGCTTTTAAAATTTATGACTAATTACTAGTATAACCATGTAACTTTATAATATTCGCATTGACAGATTTTGATATCCATAGTAAAACAAACTAACATTATGTTACATTTTAAAGTAAACAATATGACTTTTCTCGCGAATAATAGTGTAAACATTACAAGCGAACAGCCGCCAAATGTTGTATTTAAGTATATCCAATCACCAGAGTACCTAATATGTATAACTGCGTCGGTGGCAGGTTATCATGCTGGACAGCCAAGCAGAGGTCCCGGGATTGATTCCCGAGATGGGAGGAATCTCTGTATAGCCTACATTTATTTCTCCCGTGAGTTTGGGTATAATTAATGGTTGTCTATGTGAGCGTCCATGGCACCCACGATGCAGGGTTTCCCTGGTGCTATGAGTGTGTGCTTTATTATTATTAATATTATTTTTTACGTTTATAATCGGTCCGGTAAAGTTGCAGTTTTTCTATTACATGTTTATACGGTGGGGCCTTCCAGTTGTGGTATGGATAAACTGCCTCTGTGGCCGAACGGTTACCATGCCGGACTGCCACGCAGAGGTCCCAGGTTCGATTCCCGGGCCGGGAGAAATATTTGTATGGCCTACATTTATTTCTCTCGTGAGTGTGGGTGTAATTTGTAGTTGTCTATGTGTGTGTCCATGGCACCCGCAACACAGGGTTTCCCTAGTGCGAGGCTATGTTGAGTGTGTACGTTATTATTACATTATTATTATAAAACACTGTAATTTTACCTAAGAAAAACAATGCTAATAGTAATTGAAATACATTAACTAATTATAAATAGAAATATATATATATCTAACACTTATATATCTGTTATATCAACGTAAACCTTGACATTAACCTACCATTCTCATTCACAGTTCGCGGTCGATGTCCGAAGATTCCCAGTCCAGAATGGTATTTAACTCTATTAAAAATACAACACTCCTTCCATCGCACTAGCTGTCTCACTCCTACTTTACTAATCAACCACATTTTTGTAAATTATTTATTTAAAGATAACACTGTTCCATTTCAACACTAAAATTTACTCTAATACTGGTCTGAAGTTTGGAATTAAAAATTTTAAATAAAGAACTCAAGGTTTTCTAAATACGAACATGATGTGCGCAAGAGTAACCAGTTGCGTGGTCCAGACCGAACTGATTGTGAATAGAAAGAGAGGGAACAACTATAGCTGGTAACAAGAACAACATATTGTTGTAAAGCTAAGCGATTTGATAAGTATTGATAACCACTGATAGTAACAGCGGTGTTTATTAAACGAGAGGGTATTGAGGCAAAAGATTAAATTATATCATTGTTAGCTGGTAAGGCCTTTTGGTCGCTTATAATTGTTAGTGTAATTTGACGCGATACTGTATCATAATGATTACTTGTTGTTCTTAAATATGTGCCGACTAACGTGTGAGGTAGTCTCCACAATTATCAACATATTCCGCATAACAGTGTAGTGTTAAATATATAGAATATATAAATATATAAAATTGAGGACATACACTGATTAGAAAGCCATTTAGAAAGCCATTTATTGCACAATCACAAACACGCATATAAACAAAAAACAAAAATAATAATAAAAACAAAAGGACATTGAGGAACAATAATAATACAAAATATGCAGGTAATTCATCGTCATGCGTGTCGCGACTAGTGCAAACGGGACTTGCTCAGCTTTAGCCACAACCGGTTTGTTTACCGTGTCGTGGCACTGATTTTCAGCAAGCCCGGGCGAGTGAGTCACTGACAATGATAATTAAATCGAAAAAGAAGTAAACCTAAAGAGATAGCAAACCTACGAGAGTAATAGAAATAGTAATAATAATACAATAATAAATATAAATATAACAATGTTGTACATATAACTATATAGAAATACGTAAATGATAATAAATGGATAATGTCTAGTTTTGTGAAGTGTGGCGTCCGCGCGGACGATACAGGAGATCGAAGCGGGGTGCGGGTGTGGGTGACTTTTTGATAGGCATTATTATAGGATTAGTATATGGTGTGAAAACACGATTACTAAAAACATTTCACAATAGAAAAAAAACTTATCTCGAAATTTTACAAGAAAACCGACAAGAAAACTAAGTGGAACACGTTCTTATAGTACGCGATGTGCATTTTTCAAATGGATTTAACATCGCTTGTAAAAATAATAAATTCTCAAATAAAGCCAGTGTCAATGAACCTACTATGTACTAATATCGCACTGCTAATACAATAGTGTATGAAAAACGAATTACTCAGTTCCGGTGAAAGATTATTATAATTTATGTATAGGTTAAAATTTATTAGACATCTGAACGATTTCGTACTTGCCAAATTGAAGTATATTTAAAAATAAGTGAAAAGTAATTTTATATTTTTGAGTAAGGACTGTTTTGTTCTGAACTAGCTCACAAAACGTTTGTCTATTTCTGGGTTAAGTAGATATATTTTAATGGTTTCTTACAATATTTTAATGACAATTTTAATGACATGTAGACAAAGAAATTTTACGTTGAGAAATGGTATAATCTTGAATTTCACATTTTTTGAGTTCCAACACTATTGTAATAGTAGTGCGATATGGGAAAAATTTAATTCGATGTAAGGTATAATGCCAGTCAGAAATAACTTTATGTAATAAGAATGAAAAGCTGCAGTGCGTTTTGCGTCTGCCGTTCGAAAGTCTTTAACGTCGAGCGTCGTTCGCTCTTGCATGGACATAAAGATTTTTTTTTTGACCGCGTTTATAAGTATGGCCACTCCCTGAGGCAAAAGAGTGCCTGCTACCACTGCACTATTATTATGTTAGCCAAAAGACTGATCCAGAACCGACGACATACCAACTTTCGCCTTCAGAATTCCCCGTTTTCGTTCTACTGAAACCATCTAAATAATACAAACATATTGTTTATTTATAAAGATATAAGGGTCTAATATACAGGTTTACTTTTAATAATTCTTTAGATTTTACTCTCGTACAAAAATAAAAGTAGTTATATAGATTTCTCTAAACAGTGACAACTCTGTGCGGTAACATAAAGTAATTTTTATTAAAAAATGGAACCGACTTCATATTTTGCTTATATGTGCTTACAAACTGAAGCTAAAAAAAGTCAAGAATCGGTTACCGGAAAGGCGAAACCGGATTAATTCCCTGGTGTGTCTGACCCCCTGAGGCTGTCTTTCCACCAGAGATGTGCGAGGTAGCGAGGTGGTGTAAGGATCTATAGCGGCGCTGTGATACGACGTGATGTCTCCCACCAAATTTGTGCAAATGCATCCTCCGTTACGAACCCTTTTCAGTTTTGCGCGGGCGGGGTACGGTGTGTGTTAGTGTCATACTTTCAGTAGCTCTAGTTTCCTATACCGTATTGCAGACATTCCTCACCCGCATCCCTCGCACACATTCGTCGCACACATCTCTCGCACACATTTCTCGCTATTTTGTATGTACAGTCAAGAACATGTCAAGCTTGACATTTTGTACTTTGGACCGTTCTTATTGTAAGCCGCATAGAGTTGGATTTAAATCTTGAATGTCAAGCTTGATGTGCTCTTGATCCTGTACAAATACTTAGCTCCGCTAACCCTTTTGCACCGGAGCTGCGCTAAGCGAGGCTAGGAAAATGAAGTAATCCTATTGGTGGATTTTTTCCTCGCACAGTGCTTCGCTATGTCGCATATCTCTGGTGGAAAGGTAGCCTTAGAGGTCGAATATTTTCTTTCTCTTTTTTTTCGCTGATATCCTAAATTGTTTTCACAAAAAAAGACTTAATGCTTCGTAAGACAGTTTTCTTGTATCTTCTATGGTTTTGGATATCCCCATACTGTCCCATTAAAAAATAAAAAAACAACCTGTATAGAAGAACTGATATTAATATTACGGGTGTTTTTTTTTACTTTGGACAATTTAAGGGAAATTTCTCGCTTACAAATAATCTACATAATGTAGATAAAGAACTGTGGTTTGAATAAGGGTTATCACTATTACGTTTTATATGTTATCGTTGTTTTTCTACTGACAAAAAGAGATATGAAACTCTTTGGGGTATTACTCTCTAATAGTACGTACAAGGTAAAATACGACTGACTTTTCGTATTTCGTAGTTTTTCACCTCACTAGCTCGGAAAGGCTTTCTTTCTCTTTAGAAATCTGCTCGTAAAAGCATTTTGAAATTCGAACTTGACGATGGACTGTGGTGCACCCTTAGAGGATGGAAAAAAATAAAGGAATAGTCTCTAACTGCCTCCGTGGCCGAACTGTTACCATGCCGGACTGCCACGCAGAGGTCCCAGGTTCAATTCCCGGGCTGGGATAAATATTTGAATGACCTACATTTATTTCTCTCGTGAGTTTGGGTGTAATTTGTGGTTGTCTATATGTGTGTGTGTCCATGGCACCCGACACAGGGTTTTCCTAGTGCGGGGCTATGTTGAGTGTGTGCGTTATTATTATTATAGTCTAAGAGTGTACCTAATTTTTCCCTTCAATGAAAAAAAAACATAGTGACACGTTCAACTACATGATTTATCGTACATTATTTGTAACAGAAATCCGTTGGTACATTTTATTCTTTTTATTGTTAACATTAAATTGACAAGGATAACTAATTTTGTTTATTGAAATATTTCTGATGTATGAATGAATAAAAGTGATTTGTTATATTTCAACTGTGTTTTTTTCATCTACCATTTTCCTCGCTATATTCAGGTGTAAAGTTGTTTTGCGTCTCGTGGTCTTGAAACCCTCGTTACGCTCAGAATTCTATTTTTGAACCACTCGCTTCCCTCGTTTTTCAATCTTAGGGTCGTATTCTAGAACTCTACTCATTGCTCAAGTCATGACATGAGTATGATTTAAAGCACTAGAAATCATACTCAAGTCCTTGCCATTAGGGTCGTATTTCCAGTGCTTGAAATCATACTCAAGTCTGCTCAAATCCTGACTTGAGCATTGAGTAGAGTTCTAGAATACGACTCTTAGACTCTTTTCATACCAAAATCGTCAGGGATAACACGTGTCTTTAAAACGCGTGACATACCTATTTCTGACGCCAAGTATTAATGTGAGCATTACTGCATTCCTGTTTGCAATGGTAAGGGCGCTGGAAATTACAGGCACATGGGCCTTGTCAACTTAGAGTGGTTACGCGCTATTGCATCGCTACAATTGCGAATTGCGATCACAAGTGCAGCGATGCAATCGCGCGTTTGTGTCGATGCAGTCGGGCGTTTGCATCACTGCTTAAAGTATGGCGTGTGTGTAACCGCTCTTATGTCTCAGGAGACGGGCACAGTGGCAGTGTCCCTAAGATCTTTGCGATTTAAAGCTTATTGGCACTGCTGTTATGGATGGAAATCATCACGTTATGTTCCTACATGACAAAAAGGTATTACCTATATATTTAACATACACAAACAATAATAATAATTTAAATCAATTAGGAAATGAAACTATTTTTCCGGATTTAAATCGCGTATATTTGTTTCTTCAAACAAACCGACGTTTCGGGCCCTTTACAGGTCCCATGGTCACGGTTGACTGAGGTTGTACAGTCTTCAATCAGTTATGTCTAATATTAATGCAAACCACCCTATTTTTTCACTATAGTTACAATAGTTATTAATTAAATACCTTATTTTTAATTTTACAAAGAAAAACATTCCAATTTACGCTACATTAAGTTTTACAAATTATTTTTTTATTGAATGAATTTTTAATAAGTTTAATTTATTATTAATTATTAATAGAAATTAGAATACACTAAAACATATTAATTCGTACTGCAATCTTATGTCTGTTTGGGATTTTTCATTAGAGGAAATACTGGATCCCAAACTGGTGGTACGGAGAAACCATCTTCCCTGTTGAAATTAGGATGTTTTTTAATTTCAATGGCCTCTCGCAGCATCCTGGGTAGATAACGGACTTCTTTTGCAAGGACCTGGGGTTTGTCAAACTTCATTGAATGTGTAGGTTTATCCATGACATGCTCGCAGACTACAGACTTGTTTACGCGACGGTGTTTCAATTTCAAAATCAATTAATTAGCCGTGGTAGTCTAAGGGCATATTTATTAGACGCGAATTTCATCGCGGTCACCGCGATCACACCACGCGGCCGCAGCGCGGGCGCCGAGCGGAGTCCGCGTTACCGCCTGCGTCTAACTGTCATGGCAAAATGCGCTCTATCTATTTATGTTTTAACTTAAATGAGCGTCCCGGACACGCGGGCGAGGCTATTTTGAATTTGGTCAAAAAAATAGTGTGTCGTTTTCATAGTAGACTCCAGTGACTGCTATAAATTATGTTAGGTCTTTCACTATAAATCCAAAGAAAACTAAAGCACGTCTTTTCTTATTTCGATAAAACTAATTCTTAATGAAGCAAAGTAAGTTTTGTTACACTTCGCTAACAATAGATACGTTTCGATCAATCTGAAACGAAGAATCGTGAAGACAAATAGTCCCGGGCCTGAGAAAATACGCACACATCGTGGCTGCTATGAACACACACATAGACTGCCACAAATTACACCCAAACTCACGAGAGTAATAAATGCAGGCCATACAAATATTTCTTTCTTTTAAATTTTCTCCCGGCCCGGGAATCGAACCCGGGATTTCTGTGTAGCAGTCCAGCATGGTAACCATTCGGCCACAGAGGCAGTCAAAGTACGGTGCATGTAAAAATATTTTTATCCATGTATTATCACCTTTATAGAAACACGACAAATGCATTTACGGTAACAGGGAACCAAAAATATAAATGACAATTAGGCGTTATTTTAGTTGCATGCATGAATTAATTGCAAAGCTATGTTTTTTGCAAATGTGCCTTTATAGATAACATATAAAAATCTGTATTTAACATTCAATGTGTGATTAATTCTGTCAATGTAGTTAATTTTATGTATAATAAATTGTTTTCGTAATACTGCATACTACATTCACCAAAGCAAACAGAAGCATTCGTTGTGAAAGAATTCGACCGGGGAAGTAGAGTCACCATTCCTATTTCTGCCATCAACTAGTATGTTTTCTTTTTTTAATAATACCAAGCGACACGCTCCCCATAACAGTTGCTATATCGCTCAGAAATCTTAATGGAAAAGATCTAAGGGGCACTGCCACTGCACCCGTCACCTTGAGACGTAAGTTGAATAGTCCCTTCAAAACCGAAACCCTGCTCACATGATGAACTCTTTTACACGGAGCTCTACTGCTACTATTTTAATAATAATAATAAGTTTGTTTATTTTCTCACCACAATAGAGGTTATTTGACCACAACAACACCAACTATACATAATAAAAAAA